CTTTTCTTCATGATATGTTAACTCGTTTTCAAATATTCGTATACTTTTCAACACGATCCTGCAATCGACATCTTGAAACTTTGTCGTTAGGCGGAATTTACACTATTTGTTTTCACCGGTGCGTTTGAAACATACAGTCAGATCTATTACACTGTAGGTACTGCTGGAAGAGCTGGTAGAAAATAAGTGCCAATTGTCTATTGATTATTTAGCGAAGAAAATGTACTACATGGCCTGAACAGTCTCGAGCCTAAAATATAGATGGCGCTAGTCTCATTGCATTCATCGCTCTTCAGTTAGTATTAAACTTCAAAAGAGAGCCGTTGAAATTTCATGATATTCCACCCATCAGCTTGTGAGTTATTGTTGGAAGAATGACACTACTTTCATTATTCTCAAAACAATGGATCAAACACAATTTTGTGTTTTAATTTTACACTGCTTTTTGATGGGAAAAAATCCGTTCTAGCTAAGTAATACCTTGAAAAGTGTTATAAGGACTTCGCTTTATCAGAAACAATAATTAAAGGTTGGTTTGCTGACTTCAAAGATGGTCGTATGTCATTACACAGAAGTGCATATAAATACATACGTCACATATAATAGATTCAAAAAGTAAAAATGTATAAATATAAAATATCACAGTGAACAATTAAAAGTAACACAATTTGTCAAATAATAGAACATATATAGACACACTAGGGACATATGTCTTGTAAATAAATATCTTCCTTACGAATATAACATAGACCTAAGAGACAATAATCATTAATAAAAATTAATTACATATAAAAATGGTAAACCTGAGGTATATATAAAAGTCAACATGATGAGTACTGAAATTCAGATATAATATCATAATAGGCGGTTTGAAGGAGGTGATGCTTGAGTACTAGTTTGAATTTAGCTAATGGGGCATCTTTCAGTGGTTGTGGAAGAGAATTGAATCATTTAATTCCTATCAACTGGGTGGATGTCAACCTGTTGTGAGGAATTGCTAAATGGGATCTGGTCCTTGTGGAATAGTTATGGTTATCTCCATTCATCCGTTACTTATGTCTGTGTGTTTTCACATGAATCAAGTTATAATATATTGAACCTGAGGGAAGTGTGAAGATCTTGAATTTGATATACCATGGTTTACAAGTCTCAGTGTTTGGTATGCCCGCTAATACTCGTATAGCTCTTTTCTACACGGTAAATATTGATGTATTGTGACAGGAATATCCCCAGTTAACGATACCATAAACCATAACACTATGGAACATTCCATGATGATATTCATAGACTTTCTATTCGCATATACCATATTCGCCAGATTTGGCTCCCAGCGACTAGTGTCTCAGACCTCAAAAAAATGCTCACCGGTAAGAAATTTCGCTCGAATGAAGAGGTTGCTGAAACAGGCCTATTTAGAGGCAAAAAATAAACTGTTCTGCAAAAGTGGTATAGAAATGTTATATGTAGTAGGGCTAGAATGATTGTGTGGCTCTTAATGGAGATCACGTTGATGAATAAAGCCAATTTTAAACAAAAAAATGCGTTGTCTTTCTTAGGCCCAGGACTTTTCATCCCAGGTGTTATATGATGACGATTCGCTGGGCTGAACAAGTGGTTCCTGACCGTCCCTATATTAGTTGTGAAATTTTTTGTTTATCAGTGCTCAGTTGGATTTTTTCTCATTCATATTTACATGGGTATAACTGTGTAATATTTTTTCGAAATACCCGAATGTTTCGTTATTGTGATACAACTCAAATACCGTGTTGATAAGCTCTGAACAATTCCAGAACGTACTTCAGGAAATCAGGGATAACATATATTTTTTTGAAAACAACATGCATGGGGCTGTACGGAATGAAGTAATAATGAAAATGTTAATAATAATAATGTCTGCAGCATTGACTGCAAGAGTTAATGGATCGAAAATTCAATGAAACTATAATTACCTTGTTATTCATGGCTTTGATGAGGGTAATTCCAATCCATTTGGTATTTTTGGGAAAGAATCCCAAAAATCAATGAAACCTAGAGACCAGTAGTCATTAAGTTCAGCCGTCGTTGTACGAGAAATTAAATATTTGGTAAAAAGAATTTCGAATGAACATCTATTATGATCACAGAGTAGCTTACTACAGAAAGTTTCAATTTATTCAAAAAGGTTTGAGCTCACGTATTCCAAAAACACTTTATTGTGAGATTTTCACTAAATTGTTTTACAAAAACGCAACACGTGTTTCGCCATACAATGGCTTCATCTGGACAGGAAAGACACGTGTTGCGTTTTTGTAAAACAATTTAGTGAAAATCTCACAATAAAGTGTTTTTGGAATACGTTAGTTATGGATTTTCATCAAGTATCGGCCGATTCCATCATATAATTTTTTTTGTCCTTTCATATTTAGGGTCTGTTAACAATCTTCGGTGGGTACTAATTGATTTTTGATTATTTTAGAGCTCTTTCTTGTTGGTGAACGATATTACTGAATAGTTTTTGTATTTCTCTCTTTTTCTGTGATTTATTTCTGAAATATGTTTTATCTTCATTTGAACTTTTGCTGAATAATTCAAAAATACGTTGAAATCTTGATTCTCCATATTAATGAGATTACTTTTTGAAACTTTTTTTTATTCCAACAGTCAGTCCTTTATTATAATCAGTAATATCGCAAAGAATGATATTTTGAATGATATTGCTGACGCAATTTATCAGAAAGTCTACGGTAACATTTTGATTATATTCAAGTACCTTGTTTTTCATTATTTAATCTCTAAAAAAACTTTGACCCTTTTTGTTCACTTACATTTCTGTAGATCAGTCAACATGAATTATCGCCACGTTCTGTTGTTTATGAATAAACAGAAAAATAAATTAAATTGTAATGTCTCGTTTGATAGGTCTTTCAGTCGAACACTTCTCATTTTTTCCAAATGAAACCTGCCATTTCTGAGTGATTAACAGTTTTACATCACGTTTAAGAAACTACAAACAAACAATAAATATCATAACTCAAAAGAAAATTTAATTGGAAAGTCATCCCAGTTTATCCTAATAAATGTTCCCATTCACTTCCTGACAATAATAGAGTGTGTTTATAAATTCATTGGAATGTTTCTAGGGTAATCTCGTTGAAAGCACCTCTTATTCTATCTATGAGTTCTAGAACCGACCATGGATGTATAACTTATACATCAAATTTCACAAATCCCCTCGAAAAATTGAGAGTGTCATATCAGTTGATCTGGTAGGCCATTCTTAGGGACCATTTCTATCTATTCACCAATTTGAACCATCCATTGAACCAACACGTCATAGTGCACATCTTTTTCAGATGTTACATCAGTTGAACACTAATTTTTCTGAACTATTTTTTTGTTTTATTTTAAAGAAAGTTGCATCAACCGCTAGGGTTATTAGCAACGGCATAATACAAATACAAATTAGTATATGATGTTTAAAATTAATTCATATACTCCATGCGAGTACTGATGTTTTTGCTTCTGCTAGCTTAGAGGTGTAATTGTACCACTGATGTTGCCAATTGATGATGATTTCTTGTTTGTAGAAATATTTTAGGTCAATGTGATTTATTTTGGGTTCAGTATAAGTCAATGGATTTGAGATGGCTGCTTTCGCCAGTTGATCTGCTCTTTCATTACCTGGGATGCCCACTTGAGATGGGACTCACATGAATCTGATTACTGCTTGCTTTTGTTTGAGTACATGAAGCTCTCGTTTTATGGAAAGTATAATGGGATTTTGGGTGTTTGATTGATTCATTGCCAGAAGAGCACTCATGGAATCTGTTATAATGAGGCATTTTCCATTTTTCAAATATTTATGTACTTCAAGGCTTTCCATATAGCGTATGTTTCTCCAGTAAATACCGTGCTTTCTCTTGGTAGTTTGTACGAAGCTTGAAAACCTGCGATAGTGAAAGCTGATCCGACTCCGTCTATAGTTTTGGATGCATCTGTGAAGAGGAAGTTGAAGACTGCATATTGTTCTAGAAGACGATGAAATTCTAAAATTTTTCATCAATACGATTTTGCAACATATTCAGGTACAGAGGTCCAGTTAAACAGACTTTCACAGACTATGTGACCTTCTCGAAATACATGTGGGTTTATGTCAGACCAATAACATATTGTAACGAATCTGAGTATGTTTTGCAATCTTCTATATGGATCATTTTTGTAGGAGTAAAATTTATGTTTCTCAAACGGTTTTCAGTGGTGCTGAGGAGACCAAACAAACTACCAATAACCTAGGTTTTCTTTTCGATGTTTCTAATCTAGATACACAACTAGTAATCTGAAACTTTCTGACGAATTCTCCCAACTATATTTGGGAGATAAAGATTTTGGCTTTCTACTTCTCCCTCTTTGTACGAAAAATGTGGAAATTTTCCAAAGAAAAAAAGGAAGCAATAAAATTCAAAACATATTTTTACAAAGATGTGTAGATTATATTCGAAGAAATAACTTTTAGACACGAAAGAAAAAGCCCTCTTAGAAAGTAATACCATCCAAGGTATGTTAAGTTATTCTCAGGTATCGTCCAATTTCCTAATAATGCTATTTATCCCAATTACTGCTGTTCTGATTTTCAAAAATGAACCAGTACTAGATAGATGATTGGAGAAGACCAATTAAACAAGGTATCGCAAGACTCTTCTTTCCTAGTAAAAGTAGATAGAGTTCATGGGCGACGAGTGATATCACACAATTAGCTTTTTCATCAAAAAGTACTAAAAATGTTCATCCTGTTCATCTAGTCATGTGTAAAAGTTATGAGTACTGCATAGTACCCGTATCTTCATTCAAAAAAAATGGATTCTCAGCCACTGTAATTTGTAACATCAGTGAACGCATCACTGAGTTTTTCCCAATTGCAAGAACACAACATGTCTGAAACATTTCTCAGTATAATACCTGCCCGAATTCATGTAACATCAATTACATCAATCGAATTGAGAGTGATTCACTTTCTCTTTCAGATACGGTTTACTGGGTGCATCAGGATGTGGAAAAACCACGCTTCTCTCTTGCATCGTCGGCAGAAGGCGACTCAACACCGGAGAAATTTTTGTGCTGGGCGGAAAACCCGGAAAGAAAGGATCCGGTGTGCCCGGAAAACGAGTCGGGTACATGCCCCAGGAGATAGCCCTCTACGGAGAATTTACCATCAAAGAAACGATGATGTATTTCGGATGGATTTTTGGTATGGAGTCCAAAGAAATCTATGAAAGACTGCAGTTTCTGTTGAACTTTTTGGATTTACCTAGTCAAAATCGTATGGTTAAGAATCTAAGGTAAGTTCAAGCAACACACTCGGTGGCATACATTTCACCAAAGATAGCGCTACAAAAGCGACACTTTTTTGTCGATGACGGTGAAGACCTACAATTATCATTTATTTTGATATGATCCACTTGAATTTTCCTTGTACTGATTGACGACTTTTTTTTTGTGAAAATTCAATGTTCACTGAGAATACACTATTGTTTTGAAAATAGTGTAATGACCGAAACTAGTCAACAAATATAAAACTATCGTGGAAAATAGACAAAATTGTATTTTTATAGTGTATTCTCTGTGAAAATATAGTGATGAAAATAGTTCAATTGTCTTTCCAAATAGATTGAAACTGTTCTCATGAACATAGTAATTGAACTCGAGAAACACAACTTCAGTGAGGTATACCGGGTGTTTCCTAATTGCGGTAAAAATGTAAGGGCATTTCCCCAGGTAATTTTATGCAAAAACAATGCATATGATTAAAACTGTATTCGATTTTGGTGAGATTTGACACTGTGATTTTCGGTAACAAGCCCTGCTTAGATACAAATTTCGAGTCCAGATACAGATCGGAATTCAGTTTATCCAACAATATCGACCAAAAAATGAACGACACTAACATTCAATATTGTCCAAAATAAGCACTTTTCTCAGTCACCAAAAATGAAATCATCTCCTCTTCTCGTTTCGTCAATCAAGTTGGCGTCTTCAGGATAAATTCCACGACAGAAGTTCCAGTTTTACTTTTCATCATTTAATTTTGTGTTGGGTAACACATCCTTTGTTTTATTTTCATAACTGTCTTTGTTTTCTAGAAAAAAAAACATATTTGGAGAATTAGTGTGCTCTGCATTAAAAAAGCCAAACAATTATTAGTTTATGATGTTTGCCATTGTCAAGTTACATTTATTGTTGTGACAACGGATATTTACAATATTGATGCGGAAAAGGAATCTATTGAAAAAGTTCAACACCGTGTATCTTGGAAACAATGCATTTTCTGATGTACGTTTAATGAACTTTTCTTCATAAAATTAGCTCCTCAACACAGCCATACATTTTTTCACCGCAAACAGGAAATACTCTGTACATTATTTAGGTGACATCTGAGTTCTCGACTCAAATAAAGGGGTTCAAATTCAAAGTCATTTTAATGTATAATTTTTGGGGGGAAGATTATGTGATACCTTTGATTGTTTGATTTGTCAAGAGTGAGAACTATTCTTGTGTTCAGTTACAAATATATGAAATATATGACTGAAATATTGCAGTCCTTCCATAGATTGATATAATGCCTATATAAAAAATTGCTGTATTGAAACATCATATTTTCCTAGGAAGGGCTATGTTGGCATATCTCTTCCAAAAAAAATAATCCTAAATACTTTGCAGATTTTTGAATTATCAGCTTTCTTCCAGCTACATCATCAGAACAACACACCTTGAAACTCAATTCTGAAAAATCCAAATTGTTTTATTTCGGTATGAAAATAATATGAACTTCTTAAAGAATAATACTCCATTATAAATCTGTAATACAGACAGAAAACTTGGTTTAGGTATTAGATACAGACATGCGTTTTTCTTAGCTAATAAAATATCTTATTGGTAAATTTCTGAAACCTATTTACAGTAATCATCATATTGTCAACTTCGAAATGAAGCGAACGTTGTGTGAATCACTTGTCACTTCAACTATTGTGATTTCCTTTATGGACCATGCCTGACAAAAGTCGATAAGGATAGAACACAAAAAGAGCAAAATAGCTGCGCAAGACTGAATTATGGTATCATAAATTATAAACATATTTCACATAATTGTTGAATGCACCTGGCTCAATATGTACAATAGAAGGCAGCTCCACATGGGTACCTTTACTCACAAACTTTTAAATGATCCTTACCCTCCAGCATTGATCAATAAATTCATTTCTCGATTCAAAGTACATTCACAAAGTATCAGACACAAATCTACCTTCAGCATAAAACTGCATTTTTTCAAAGGTGTTATGTCTTCAATGCCTTCAAAATATACAATACTTTTTCTGATGAATTCAAATTATATAATATAAATAAGTTCAAATATAAATTGAAGCCTCATTTACATGGTAAGCAGTAAGCATATTTAAGCTCATTCTTCATTTCAATTTATCATAATTTGTATTTTCAGCTATGTATGCACCCATAAATCACAATCTATAATGTATTCTTTCTTTTATTTTACATTCTTTTATTTATTCAAAGTTTGTCAGTCAATTTGTTAGTATATAGATAGAATAGCTTTGAGCTAGACTTCGCCAACTGTCTATGAATAAACCATTCGTGTACTGTCTCGAATAACGATGAAAGGCGTTTATTATTATTACTATTATTTGTTGTTATTGAATTGAGTTTTGGACGAACTGTTGTTATGTTTAGCCACAACTACTCTGATATTCAATCCGTTGCCCAATTTTTTTCAAAATGTCAACAACAGATAACAGTCTTCCACTATCACAACCTACTTGCAAAAGAAACTTGGATATGTAATCTTCATTGTATTCTGTATAGTGAAATTAATATTGTTGAATACATTCAAAGAAATAACGATACTATAGAAGTACCGATTATGATTGAATACAGTCCACTCACAAAAATGAACTATTTTTTCTGTTTTTCACCTCGCATAACAGAAAATCATTCCATACTAAACTAGAATCATTCTCAGTGCAATGAACGTTATTTTTTCAGTGGTGGTCAACAACGAAGGGTTTCTTTCGCAGTAGCTCTAATGCACGACCCCGAACTCCTTATTCTCGATGAACCGACAGTAGGTGTGGATCCTTTGTTGAGGCAAAGTATATGGAATCACCTCGTACAGATAACGAAAGATGGCAATAAGACTGTTATCATCACGACACATTACATTGAAGAAGCTAGACAAGCACACACGGTAAGCAAATTATTTTTTTAAGTGTGTCTACCATTGTAATTAATGGGGAATTTAGTACGGAGGTGAAAAGGGTCTTTCAGACCTCTTATGCAACTTTACATGAATAAAGGAGAAATAATCTACAGTTTCCTAACTTCTAACGAAACTTGTTTGACCTTTTTAGAAACTCGTCTGATCTGATGAAAGCTAGAACTAGAACCTCTAGCTCAGAATGAATCCAAATCAAGCATTCTTCCCAAACACCAAATCTGCAACACTTTTCTCGACACACGTTTCCCAGCCAAGTTGGCGTCTTCTCGACAAACTCGCCGTTCTGGTGTTTGGGAAAAGTGTTTGTTTTGGATTTATCTGATCTAGTTAGTTCACTAAGATGGTTAGGTTAGGTCCAAAGTGAGTGGGTCTATACGACCCTCCACCGCAACCCGCAAGGGTTTATTGTGGCTCACACATATTCACACTCGGCCAAATAAACCCAGCTTCTTAACGGAGCCTATTAGTTTGTATGGTGAGTGATCTCCGGTTCAAAATAAAAATAGTGTTATCTGAACAAAGTTATTCTAAAATTGGATGTAGAGCTCAAAAATGTTGAAATATACAGGGTGTTCCATTTGAAAAAATTGAGTTCCACTCATTTTTTCATGAGATCAAAATATCTGCATTTTTTGAAGACCCTGTATGAGGCACATGAAAATATGACTCGGAGTGAAGATTCTCATAGTATCACTCCACTTCATTTCAAATTTGATCGTTTTAGTGCAAGGGAGTTCAAGATTATCAGCATTTATAAAAGTTCATGTTTGGTAAAAAAAATATCGAAATTAATTTATATCTTCTAAACGGTAATAGATAGGTATAGGGAAATAGTAAATGAATTTGTTGACAAAGTGATAATGAATCATAATATGATATTATATACGGAGTGTTCCATTTGAAAAATCAAAGAAGCCGCTACTTTATAGTAGAAGCGACAACGCCGCTTTAGTTTGTCAGAAACGGCTAATTAACGCTCATCATGAAAAGCCCTGTATATAGGCCCTGAACCAGTTATGTTTGGTGTCAAATTGGGAAGTTGAACAATAATAAACATAAAGAATACTGGAAAAATATACTCGAGAACACACACGTTCACATCTGTACAAAAGGGACTGTTCGAATAGAAAACTACAGAATTTCTCAAATAAAGCTCAGTGGGAACTGTTCAATGGGCCTTACAAGTGAGAACTCAGCTGCAACTAACGGATACAGATAACTAACGGAGACAGCTCGTCATTTTTGCAGATGTGAGGCAAACAATTCATGAACAACTCAAATTATGTCCAGCAAGTAACCTGAAAAGACTAGTATGGGAAGTTAATACACTGATCCGTTATTTATTGAAAATGAATAACACTGTCCATCCTGGTGGAACAATTTATTTATTATCATTGATAGTATTAGAGGGAACTAGATTGGTTGGAATGAGTGTTATGAAAAACACAAAGCCCATGAGACTGATGTGTTTTCCAGATACTTGGAATCACTGCCTGAAGATGTTGCATGGTGCAAAACTCAAAAAACGAATATTAGCTTATTTCACAAAAATTCTTTCAAACTTATTGTTGTGAAAGTATTATTTAATAATCCGCTATTTGGAAAGTCAAACTGGACCGGCGGTCCAAAGTGAAGTTTTCAGGGTCAAACGTGATATTTTTGAAATATTGTTAATAAATATTTCTTGTTGAAAGTTCAGCATCGATGGAGAAAAATATTTTAATTTTTTCTGAAATGAAACAATTGAAATCAGCAATTTCTGTTTCGATAGAGAAAACTAAATTTCAATCATCTTCAGAATATAATGTAAGAAACAAAATAAGCAGTTTTTACCTTTTTGCCACCTACTCAACTACTTCTAGGAAACAATTTCAGTGATAATGATAATTTTTTGAATAATTTTCGTCATCATATTGGATGAAGATATATAAATGTTAGTCACTGAATAATGGATTGAGTGTCGACATTTTATGATAAAAATAAATTAAAAAATTTGTTGTCACTTCCTGTTTTCAGAACGTCATGAGTTTGGTTGAGCCATTAAAATATTATTTCATTTATGAGGACAAGTTTCGCAAAGCTGTAATTATGCAAATATCATTGTCAGCAAAACCATCTGGTAATAATATCTATAAACTTCAACTATATTTGTGGACATTATCAATACGACAAAAAATTATTGCGTATATTTGTGGGATAGATTATCAATTATCTTTCACTAGTGAGATCATAACAATACATTTTATGGCGGGAATAATAATTAGTTTACTATATTTACATTCAGCACAAGTCCAAAGGTATCTTTAACATCGTAAATATTTCCTATAAATGACAGAATTCATGAAAATTTACACAGGTTCACAATTTTGGCAAAATGTTACTGGTTTTTTTATGAAGTCGAACACATCTGATGAAACCAAAATATGTTTGAAAACTGTTTCAAGAAGTGATACTATATACTGAGAAAATAGATATTTAAAAATAAAATTCCAAACTGCCACAGAATGGATGGATCGTGTTTATTTTGAAGTTAACTACTTTCTTCCTTTGTTTGGAAGTTTTTCACATTTTTGGCATGGAAATGGTGAAGTACAAGGGCAAAAAACTCTTTCCTGTTACAATAAATCCATATGATAATTGACAATATGCTACTAGTATATGCCAATTAAACCCCTTTCTTTATCATTACCATAATATGTTCACGTATATCTGTTGAACAAAAATTGCCTCATACATAAATTCTACGACTATGAAATTCTCACTTCATACTCCTTTATCTGTAGAGCAGGGAGGGTGAGTATAGGCCCACAGCACTTAGGCCACATGTGACCCATTGTACATCCTCCCGAAAAGTTGTCCTCCTAGGTCATCGCCCATCCTGTCCTTTACAGGAAGGTGGACAGGTCATTAGGAGACATCTCCTTCATATCGGCAGGTGTAGGCCAAGACTCGCCGAACACACACTCTCTTATAACTCAGGACACTCACATTAGACATACCTGACAGTTTCATTTTCCTGTTCACACATCCTGTGTCCAGTGTCCACTAGCCCCATATTATGGGGCTAGTGGACACTGGTCATCGCCACATATTTTTTCCAGCTTCCCAAGGTCGCCCATACTGACCCTGGCAAGACTGCATCCTTTGATTCCATCCCATCTCTTTAGGGATTGAGCATAAGTGTGATGTTTGGCTAGTTCCGCAATTGTCGAAGTCATCAAGCCGTAGGTGTCACTGGGTCCTAAAAGTTTTAGTCCAGCCGCTTGCTTAGCTAAAGAGTGGACAATGCGATTACCTTCACTCCTGTCGTGTCCTTCAACCCAACTCAGGATAATGTTATTATCTACCTAGGCTTTGGATAAATCTTGGTGGCACTCTGGTACTAGCTCTGAGGTAACACGTTGTCTGTACGAGGCTAATATGGATTGTCCACTATTAGTGCAGATTGTTATGTTTTTGCCAGAAACTCCTTTCCTGGTTATTTCTTTTAAGGCGATTGATATGACAGCCAGTTTTGTTTGAACCACGTTGGTATTTTTTTCCATTCCCAACTAAACAATAAGCCTAAGGAACCGGAAGAAAACCCAAAACCCGAAACCTCCTCCGGTTTTGAGCCGTCCGTATATATGCGTATTGCATTTGTAGCATCTGATTCTATGTTTTCTTTCATTTGTATTTTGTAGGGTTTATTGAACACGAACCTGGGTTCAATTGCATCACTGGCTGCCTGCGACAGAGGCTGCGCAATAAACGCTTATCGTCATAGACTTAGCCTCAATTGACCCATTCCTATTTCGAGGTTCACACCAGCCGTGGGCAATCATAACATGGTCATCAACGTAACCTCCTTAAGGTACAGGTCCAGAGGGTTCAGACCAGTAATTAATTTCATTGTCGCGGTTGGTGTTGTTCTCATGGCATCTGTGATGTTTAAACAAGCCTCTTGCTTGTAGAACGTTCGGTGCCCATGCGATGGCTCCGTACGTTAACATAGGTCTTATTATTGCAGTGTAGATCCAGATGACTACACGGGGTGAAAGACCCCATGTGCATCGCACTGTCCTCCGACATTGCTCATAAACCACATATGCTCTTTTTTTTCTACTCTATAGGTGAGAGTTCCGTGTCAGCTTCCTGTCGAGGGTAGTACCAAAGTATTTCACCTCTTCAGAGAAGTTTACTTTGCTTTTGAAGATTTCGGGAGGTTTTAGGCCCGATAAACTTTTTTTCCTGGTGAAAAGGACATCTCAGTCTTCTTGGGATTGATCGACAATGTGTGTTCCTTACACTATGTTTCTATTTATTCGACCCCATCCTGCGCTCTATTGCACATTGTGTTCACAAATTTGCCGGTCTGCAAGATAACTGATTGGTTGGTGACACAACTCTGTTTAGAGCACGCAGTATCATGAACGCATCCATACTTTTACAATACAGCATAAATATATTATTTTTCTAACGAATCTCTTCACAGAAACAGCAAAATCATGTGACTGAATTTTGTCTAATAACTCAAAACTGACACCCCAGAACACGTATTATATCAACACTCTGAAACATTAAAAAACCCGTCAAAAAGAACACTGCAAACGAGTTATAAATGAATCAAATGAACGCAAACAAGTTGGAGAAAATAATATCAGAATGAAATATATGAATGAAAATCCTACACTGATACATTTTTAGATAGATTACCTAATTAGGTGCTTCATACAATCTTTACTAGCAGAATTTTAATGGTTCAAATTCAGAACACAGCATAACTGGATCGTCAAAATAATCTAGAAGTCATCTGTTTAAGTGAAACCTGTCTCACTTCAGAAATCTACAATGCCGCATTGTTTCCACCAACGTACAGTGTCTTCAGAAAAGATATATGAACCTAACAAATAAAACCAAGGGCGGAGGTTTCCTTGCATCTGTAAAAAACTTATATGATTTTTATCTCTTGGATCTCTTTGAAGTGACAT